TGTATTGCACACACAGGAGGACAATGATAGAACAAAAACCGAGTTTGCTCTATCCTCGTCGAAGTCACTCTTGTTTTTCCTCCGATCCTTCCGGAAAGGGCGGAAAACACGGCACCGTGGATCACCACTGCACCCAGATTACACCCAAACACTCGCCGGACACGATCGGAAAATTTTCTTCGAAAAACTTGCACTGCACACTTGGCGTTCCGTTTATTTTTCGTTCGATTTCTTCCCGTATCGAGATATGTTTTCTTGTTTTGCACTGTGTGGCCCCCGCTCGCTCGTTCCGCGCACACACACGGATCGTAGAATCTCGATCTGCCTGTCCGCCGTCTTCCAGGCTGATGGGGTTGGCTATGGACAAACAACACGCACAACGAAAGAGCAAAAAAGTTTGTTATGTGTTGAGTTAGGAAAACAAGACCCGGAAAGTGACAGCACTTGCCCTGTGTTGCCAGTATTGCAGCTATTGGCTTACATCACAGTAGCTGACTCGATTGCGATATCGGCGAGGATATCGGTACTCCGAGGTAATTGACCTGTTACAAGATTATTATCCTTAAATCATGCTTCTTCTTCCAGGTTTTGACGCTCTCGTACGAGCCTACTCCTGCTCTCAACTTAGTGTTCTTTCAAGTTTTGCACAATTATTAATTTAGAGCTTTATAAACCAACCAACGCATGACTTTGTATTAAATATATTAATTATTGAACTTGAATGATTTTCCAGACTGGACCGGCCTTTGGTTCAATAATAATGTGCCTTAACTGACTAATATACCTATAGGTTGTCTGACTAAATCAACTTTTTGAAATCACTAATTTCAGATAATTAATGCAACTTCAACATTTCAAATGTTTTCTTAATTCCAGGGTTTTAAATTAGAAGGCTGGCCACAACCCCTTCCTGATCTTCCGTGGAGAATCATCATCTGGATAGTCATCTATATATTTTTTTCCAATCAATATCAGTATTACAGTGTTCGGAAAACTCAAAAACTCAAAACTCATGCATGAATTTATGCGCCTATGAGTTTTGCCTTGCAAAATTCAACCATTCAACGTCGCAAAAATCACCGATGAGTTTTCAGTTTCAAAAATTAATTTATTTATAATTTGGCGTTATTTATTATTATTATTATTATTGTTTGTACATCAGGGGTTGGAGAACTAATAAACATGCATAATCATGGTATCAATTGACGTTTGAATGGTTTATATGAGTCTAAAGTTGGAATGATTTTTCGACGTTGTGAGTGTGAGTGCGTGAATATGCAAGAGAATCTCAAGCGTGAATTTTGTTGCCACATTTGCACGTGAGTTTATTCTCGCAAGGAGACACAATGAATGAGATTTGAGAATGATTTTCCGAACACTGATCAGTAACTTTGAACACTATCCTCCACACTCTTTAACCAATCCACATGGTTATGTGGAATGCCATCGACCGGACGCTATGGGATTTATTAGATAGAAATGTGGAAAGTGAAATATTGAACTTTCATATTGGAATCCGGAATCCTTAAGTCTTAAATCTTTTAGGAGTTAAGATTTGTTGAAGATATTGAGGCTTGGAGGGATACTAACTTTTGGACATTCCAATATTCTGATCGGAATTTTGATTATGGTTAGAATTCCAGGCGAATTTTAAGAAGAAGTAAATGTTCTTCCTAGTGTTCTTCTGTTGATAACTTATAAACAATTCTAAAACAATTGTATATGGGTTTCTGAGAATAAATAAATGGAATACGGACAAAATATCTAAGAGACTCGATGATAGTTCTAAACGAATTCTGAATAAAATATAAATATTTAAGAGAGTTTCAAGCGATTTCAATAGACCAAATTCTAAGTATTAATCAAATGGAATTTAAAGATAGTTCATAGAAAATTCGGAGAAAATTCTTATGAGAGTTTCAAAGGAATTCCGACGAGATTTTGAATAAAATTGTAAGAACAATATGTTGGTTATGAGAGTTTGGGCTATGCCGTGTATACTACACGGTAAGAAAAAAGTACCCAACGGCCAGATCACTTTTACCTACTTTTGACTAGTTTGTCTCCTTTTCTCCTTCTAATGTTGTCAAAAACGGAGGAGCAAAACCACCCAACAGGGGTAGTAAAGTGTGGGAACCCAACGTTGAGTATAATCATATTTACCTACTGTTGGGTACAACTAACTTACTTTTGGTTAAAAAGCCAGTGGAAAATTCCATACGAACTGCACACAAGTAAATGAAAATTACTTTGACCCGCTTTACCTACTTTTGGGTTCCTGCACTATAGTGCCGAGATGAGTGAAAAGAACTTAATTTTGGATACTTTTTTCTAACCGTGTAAAAACGAACACATGACGTAATGCTTGGGTAACTTTAGAAAAGGGCCTATCAACTTGTATAAACAAATTGTTAGGCCTTTTTCACGCGAATCGAAGAACGCCCTCGCAAACGAAGAGCACTATCGGGAAAGGGAGAATTTATTTGCCCCAGTATTGGCCATACTTTCCTATTTTGGATAAACCTCAGAAAATCGATTGAATCACAATCTTCGTGCGTTTTTTTGGGCGATGTGTATGTGTACCCGGATGAATATGATTTGAATCAACAATCTTAACAGAACTCAAGACCTTGTAAAAAAAAGGGTTATATATCGCTAAAATAGGAGCATGTCCAATATAGGTGCGTTTCCCATATATTCGCAAAAAAATGAAAAATCGACTTATTTCAAAGCAGTAGCAGCTTAAGAACAGTATTGGCAAACTAAACTATTGAATTCAAGCTCTAGAATACTTGGAGAAGTCCAATATTAATAAGTTGTATAACCAGTTCGTGAATATTACTGGCTACTTTTTTTAGCGCAGGAGTCTACAATACTCGAGACAATACTCGAATTTGCCTTGGAATTTGCCCATTTAAAAATAGAATTCAAAACAACCTAGCAATGGCCAAATTTACTGTATTTGATATTGGTTACGAAGAAAATAATATTTTAACGTGAATTATTTCAAATTTTCTCAAAAAAAACTGCACTTTATTTAGCGTACCATTTTGTGATCGTATCACTTATTTTTCAAAAATAATTTTGTGAATTGTGGATTTGTGGATTAATGCTGCATCTCCCCACTAAAGATAAAATATTTGTGAAAAATTCAATATTTTTAAAACATTAAATTTACCACGCCAATGAATGGGCAGTCGAGGAGCAAGCAATACAATGAACCGGCGAGTTGAAATTAAAATGCAATCATAAGTACTTAAAGTAATTAATGCGTTTTGATGTAGTACTTAAGTACTGAATTAAAATTGACTGACCGTACTTAATGTATTTAAAAAATTTGAAAATTTAATTAATGTACTGTAATTTCAAAATTTCGTATGTAGTTAATGATCTACACTGTGTAATTAAAATAATTATAGCAGTATTTAATGGAATTAATTTACTAACAGCCGTTGCCTGTGGGTTAGTGGGCAGTTTAGTATTATCTGTTTCTTTGGTAACAAAACACGCTGAAAACGACGCAGAAATCATCGCCATACAAATTCCTATTCCTATTATTAACTAATTCAAATAAACTTTACTGGTATTAGCACAAATTATTTATTTGATACGGCAGCACTGAATAAATAATTCTCATGTAATCAAAATGCTTCTCACAACTACTCAAACGACTGAGAATATAAAAAAATAAAAACAAACTGCATGTTTGCAGCAGCGTTACTCCTCTTCTTTTCTATGTTTATATTCTGTCGCTATTTTTTACGCCACTTCCACGCCAATAACCTAAACTAGAGAAGTAACTTCACCTGGATTCCCATGTTTCTCAACTTCCTATTTTTTCAATCCTCTGAAACTACCCGGCTGGCATTGAACCCAGAAGCTTATGGGCTGAGAAGCAGTCACGCTTACCACACAGGCACCGGCGCCATGCTACGTTACACCTCTCTGTGCGTGCGAGTATGAGTAACGCGAAAAACGACGACGTCAAACATCTTCATCGATTTCTCTGTCAGACCGCATTCGTTGGTAGCAGCCTACTAATGTCAAAAAAGACTACCCATGAAGCGACGCTGCGAGTCGTGAACAGCTACGCCTTAAAAAAAATGCTCTCTGGTGGATGGTGGCAAAGCATAAATCCAGGGAAATTAACCCAGTGGAAAATTGAACGCGTCGTCTATCGACGCTGGGCTTGCCCATATGAAAGTTGAAAGTCTACACAAGCGTACGGGCAAATCGTGTAATGTGCGCAGGATGTACAAACATGTGGCGAGCTGAGCAGTGACGTACGAACCTATACATCTACGAACGGTAGGAAGATATTCGATGTTTTTGTGGTGAGTGAAATAGAAGATTTGAACGATTCGTTATTAGAGAGGAGAGGGTAATGATTCCCTTACAAGTTTGCATGAAAGATTTACAGGATCTGTAATAAATCTCCGCTAATACATATTCTGTAATGTATTTCAATGCATTGTATGAAATTAATTTTAATTAATTGTAAGAATCGATTGATTACCAACAATTGTACGAAAATGTTAAATCAGGAGAAAGTTACTTGTACAGTTTTTTAAGTACTACCGTTACAATTCACGTTAAATGAGCATAATACAGAGGTCTGCATAAACCCATACTTATAGTACGTTCAACTAATTGCAACACAGAAACCACCATCAAGATAGCGCTATAACATGTTATAACCATATAGACGTAACTCTAAGACCAGAAGGTCCCGAAAAAACGAGCTCGAGCCAAAAAATTGAGCTCGTTTTTTCGGGACCTCCTGGTTTAAATGGAGATGTATATTAGAACCATGTTCAACAAGTTTGTAAAATATTGAGATTGAAATAATGGGTACTATGCCCAAACGAACGGTGGCCCATCTCACCCCGTACGACCGTCTTGCCCCCATCTACCCTACATGCACAATTACTGAACCGTCTTTCAAACATGTTTATTGAAATATTAAATTGATTATATACAATCATTTTTACTTTACCGAACATCCACACTAAAACCCATCCTTCAAGCTCTACAACTTGCTATTACTCTTGACCATTTCCATCACCAGCTTCGTAGCGTAGATTGCCGTTCCGGGTGATGTCGTCACTCCATATCCGCCATGTCCATAGTTATGAACTACTTTCACGTATCGACCGGTCACACCCACCACTTCCGGTTCCACCCGTACCGGGTCACGGTGCGGTCTCAGCCCGACAGCTTCCCTGATGACCGGTGCACCCTTCAAGCTGGGCAGTAACGCCTCACATCGCTCCCTGATGGCAGCCGTGTCGTGCCTGCAAACTTCTTCATTATAGCTGTCGTAGTTTCGGCATCCACCCAGCGTAACGCCCTGAATGCCGGGGATGATGTAGGTATCGTAATCGGCATAGAAAGCCGTTTTCACCCAGGGTGCTTTCACCTTGATCACCTGACCCCGAATCGGTACCAGCTTGAAGTCGGTGCACAGCTTTTTCGCACCCATGCCGGTACAGTTTACCACCACATCGTACTTGCCTGCCACTTCCTGGAAGCTGTCAATCTTTTGCGAAACGATTCGGCCTCCGCTGCGGAGGAATCTAGAAACGAAGCGAAGGGTGGCATATAATGTAATTTGAGAAAGGCAATCTTGATAATGTCGTTTGTAAATAGTATGCTACCTTTCTTTAGGAGATTAAACTTACTTTTTAGCTGCCCACGGTTGGAAGAGTCTGCATTCGGTCAGCACGGTGGTATAGAAGGACCCATACTTCCAGTCACCAGGGCAAAGGGTTAGCTCCTGTTCGGTGGCAGCTCGATACACCGGCAGAATATCTTCAATGTAGCGATTCTGAAATATAAAATGAATAGAACCATGCGATAGTAGCAATGAACCACAAAATGAAAATGAAGTTGTGAGGGGATGCTAGTTCATGCATAGCTATGCATTACCGTTAATGTCATTCCAGATTAAATGCATCGATAGTAATGAAAACAGTCCAACGTCGTCTGCAGCTTAGCCACCGACAAACCGACATGAAACATAAACTTAACTCTTAACCGAGAATCCATAACGGAAGATTTAAATGTGCAGCGATCCCATCTGTCAAAACCATAGAAATGTTTTATCTAGATAAAAATAATTTGTCCGAAATAGATTAGACACGAATCAATTCATAAATTTTGTGCACGTGTTCGTGGCTAGGATCAATATTTTCCGTAAACACGGCGGCAGATGTCAGTTTTATGCTTTGATCATAAATTTCTTTGTAATTTGAATGATCATGCATGTCGGTTTGTCGGTGGCTTAGCATTTGCAGTTCTTGTGCATTTTCGCTGACATCACAACCACCCAGACACTTCATTCGTAATTGTTGCACTCCATCCTTAGATTTGCTCTTGAGCTATGTTGGAAAATTTCGCGAGATTTATGAAGCTCGCAAAAGGAAAAGTTAGCGAGTCATTGTGAGTTTTCGTGAACTTTTCCTGTGGATTGATTAGAGACCCGCTTTTTCTCAGTTTTAATACAAGGGAAGATGGAACTAGGGTTCCATTATCCGTTTCCCTTCTCCGATGTCCTTTTCTTTTATTCTTCTCTTTTCCAAAAGCGAGTAATGGCGTTATAACCATAAACCATATAGGACAAGAGTTGGTGCTCATGCCCCGACCACTAGAGGAAAATGGAGCATCACTACCAATCATTAATAAATAACAATACAACGGAACGTACGGTTCGAGATGTCCACGTTTCATCCATTAATTGGATTCTGAAGCATCATGTTTAAATCTTTGATTAAAGCAGGTCCGATGTTTCTGTATCATCTTACCCCTTAAATGCTTCACAGTAGGCCTGACCGTTTTGATATATTTTGCGCATCTCTGATGTGCATAATTTACCAGGATGCTTTCATGAACTGACTTTTTTGGTGTTAGTTCAACACTAACAAAGTCAGTTCATGAAAGCATCCTGGAAAATTATGCACATCAGAGATGCGCAAAATATATCAAAGCGGGCAGGGTGCCTTCCATTCATTTTGAGCTAAAAAATGTTTTATGAAATTATGGAATAATAAGATATTATGATGATATTTTGTATTTGTAAGTAACAAGAAAAGATTGTAAAGTTTGAGGGGGATGACTCTATCTACGATGCAGGAAAGATTGTGTTTTGCTGTGGCTGGCTGCGCGCACGCTGAGTAGATAGAAAGAAGATTGATGACGATTCAGAAGATTTCCTGCAAAAGATGATGCGCGATGCAAGTAGATGCGAGAAATGAAAGAAGATTTTTCGAAGATTGATTCGCTAGTGTGAGATTTGTTGAGCATCTAGACTTGAGATTTAGATGTGTCGCCTCCCTCGGTAAAGTTTGTGTTTGACACATAAAACCTGCAAAATTAGGTTTGACAGAGTCACAATGAGCGATTTTCTGATCGCCTCTTCGCGAAGAGTGAAGAGCAAAGAGTGGGTGATAAAAGATAAATCACAAAATTGCGACTCTCATGTAGCAAAATTGGCAAGTATTATGTGTCAAACACATGTATCAAGACCCCGGCGTCGTGGTTAGCATCCAAGAGCGTAGCCAGATTTCGAGCTAGGGAGGGGCGAAACAAAATTTACTATGGAAAATTTGGCCGAATGCCATTTCACAGAACGCCATTTCACCGAAAGCCTTTGTGTTGCTGAGTTTAGGGGAGGGCAGTTGCCCCCCCCTGCCCCCTCTGGATACGCCTATGTTAGCATCCACACACTTAGATTTTTTTTGCCGAGATGGGCACCACCGAGCAGCTCGGAATTTTATTTTGCTGGAAATTCAGCAAAAAATATGTTTGTTAGCTGAGATCTCGGCAAAATTCCCGTTTGTTAGCTGAATCTCGGCAAGTTTTTCACTGAGATCCAGCAAAATAAAATGCCAGGCTGCTCGGTGGTGCCCATCTCGGCGAAAAAATCTAAGTGTGCATACCTCTCACGCCAAAGTCACAAGTTCAAATCTCATCCCCGGACAAGTCACGAATGACCCAAGAGCGTTAAAGTGACTATAATAAGATAAAAAAAACTGGCCTATTAAGGTGAACCGCTGTGGAAACCTTATTTTTGATCAATTTCATTACCACCTCATAATTTCAAAAGCACTAAAATATCAGCTCTCACAAAACATACAACAATGAAACTGGAACTTCACGTTTGCTGCAGTGCAGTACATAAGGAGTTCCAATTTCATAAGTGATGTCACAACAGCGTCTAATATGTGTGCTATAGAAATCTTGAAGTGATGGGGAATAGCCGGCGCCAGTGGTGTAGTGGTAAGCGTGACTGCTTTCTAACACCCCAATGGGTCTGGGTTCAATCCCAGCCGAGGTCGGTGGGATTTTTCTGAGGCATAAAAATCTCTGGTCACGTCTTCCTTCGGAAGGGAAGTAAAGCCGTTGGTCCCGGCCCATGTGTGTTGAATGGGTGCGATATCCTACGCAGGTGTGGAAGAAGCTGCCTTCCTGCACATTCGATTGCCGTCAATGGATGGCAATCGATGTCCATCGGTGATTGGCACTAGATTGCGGAACAGAGACCGACGTTAAATAAAGGAAAGAAGAAGAAGAAGAAGAAGAAGTGATGGGGAATATCAGCCATCATGATGACGGCCATTGTTGGCCGCTTCAAGGAATCATTTTAAACTTGAATGGGAAATCTCGCACAACACGAGAAAAGAGGTTTTCTCTTTCGATAATAACCCCCGACTGCAAATGAATTACCCATTCAGTGTGTTGCTCAGGCTCAGGCGCAAGCTACACGGCGAATGAGAACGACCCAAATTTGAGTTTAGTTTACTCATAATCGCCAAAAGTGCAGGAGCTCAGCGATGAGTAAAATTTGTCTCATGTTTTCCCAGGTTTTTCCAGGATTTTCCAGGGAAAAATACCCGAATTTGAGAAAAATAAAGATTGGATTCACTCAGTCTATTGGTACTACTCCGAGACTGAATAAAATTTTCGCCAATTTCTTCATTTTCCAGCAGATTTTTTAGGTTTTCCACAGGAAACCATGAGACAAATTTACTCATCGTTGAGTTCCTGCACTTTTGACGATTATGAGTAAACTAAACTCAAATGTGGGTCGTTCTCATTCGCCGTGTAACATTATCTTCTGTCGAACTGTGCTGCATAGGCTGTGAACCATTTGCCGAGTTAAATTTAACTCGTGGTTAAAAGTGACATTTCGAAAGTTATTTTCTATGTTCGAAAATCCCCGTGCTGTCGATCGACCGGTTTTCGAGCCACGGTTGTCAAAATTTAACTTCTTGTCTGTCAGAAATAACCATGCTCGGATAGCAGGGTTAATCGATAACTTTTCATGAAAACGACCTAGCAAATTATTTACAAAAGTTGATAGACCCGTTTCAAATGTTACATGAGCATTATTCATGTGTTCATTTTTAGTAAACAGGGCCCCGCTGTTGTGTCACTTTTTGTCGAGTGAGTGAACTCAAATCCATCCGTGCACTCGTCTATGCGTTAAGAAAACCATCTTGTTTATGATATCTGGATCAACAATAGAAAAGGGCACAAATGCAATTTGATCTGTCACAGTATTGAGACCCGTATTCACCGTAACATGTTCCGGCCATATCTCCAAAACCAGCTGACCCATTACAAAAATATTTAAAAGCTTTCAAAAAGATCATGTAGCCTTTTGTTTGGAGATTGTTGTGTTCAATTCGATTTAGTGGTTATCGAGCAAGACGTCTCTCATTTTTTTGTAATTTCTATTTCCCGCACACACTTAGCTTACCCTGCTTTATAAGTCAGAGGTAGAGTCGGTGTATAATGAGTCACGCCAAGAGTGAAGCCAAGTCTACCTAATGAACTGTCAAACCGGCTAAAGGGTGTCCACGATGAAATTGCCACACTATGAAATTGCTCTAACTTTTTAACCGTTGGGTAGAATTTAATGAAAATTTGGGTGGATTTAGTTCATAAAGCATTATTTACATCCTGCAAGTTTTAAAGTCCTGTGATCAATACTCGCGGAAATGGAGTCGAAAGAACAGCTCGTGCGTGATAAAATCTTGCGCATTCATCACGAGAACAAGGATCTCTCGCATCGTTCCATCGCTAAAACGTTGGGAATCGCGAATTCCACGGTGTCGCGAGTGATTAAGCGGTTCGAGGAACGGTTGACCACCGATCGGAAGCCCAGAAGTGAAGGAAAAAGTATTCCGTACAACACCAAAAATCACAACCGCGTAGTTGGGGCCTTCAACCGAAATCCGAACGCCTCCGTTAGGGATGTGGCTAAGAAGCTGCACCTAAGCCGAAGTTTTGTCCAGAAGGCCAAAACTACACACTAACTTTAGATTACTGGAGTCAGTAAAATTTTACTGGGTTTTTGAATTGCGGATCGCCCAGTAATCATCACAGAAATAATTTGCATTACCGAACTGTCCGTAAAGTCAATCTGTCAAAAATAACTGTTCATTCAGTAATTGGTTCTAGTTGCGTATACTGGAAAACCCAGTATTTTCTTTTTGTTTATTTCGCTGCAATTTAACTGAGAAGACAGTTATTTGGTTCATTATTATACCGAGCTACCCAGTTATATTAAAAGTAGTGAATGTGCAGTAATAAAAGCATGAATCCTGGTGCAATTCACCGTTTATAATATGCCAATTAATATGACGACTTAATCCCTTGACGTACCCCGGAATAGCGCGTCGACAGTGAAAGCAAACAATACAAACATCCATTTTGTTAATCAAAATTTGTTGGAGATCAAGGAACTGCAAAAAGAGTAAATAATTAGTGTTGGTACCAACGAAATAGGTCTTCAATTTCGCTGTCGAGCTTTCCCAGTTCCGT